ATCAGATGAACGTAGGGAACGGCCAGGCACATATTTGGGAAGAAGTTGATTAATGTATGCGGGTTGATTGAGAGTCGGTGACTTATAAGTCAGTAAAAGGATTTTATATTGAATTCTGGCATCAATTGGCAACCAATGAAGTTCACGTAAAATGGGGGTAATATGAGTGCGTCTCACATAAAACAATATAGCAAAAAATATTTTGTTATTCAGTTAAATAATGTGTTACCTTCGTGTAGGCTATTCATAACAAACCCACGGGTCTTTGCCATGCCTATTTAAACCGCTAGGTCATAGCTGGCTTACAACAGGCTTGTTCCGAAAGAGTTTAATACAACTGCTTCACAATACAATTAAACCGGACTTTACGAAAAACCGTACATCGTTGCTGTTCCGGAGAGGGTAGGTATTGGGAGATCGTGTGTAGTATTTACTATTTTTATGTAAAATATATCTTATGAGGTGTTGATAATCAAATTTCATGTATGCCGTAAGAAGTACACTGTGTGAATGAACTGTATATTAATATAATATATAATATTTTATTTGACATCTTAAATGTGATGGTACTTTCCATTAATGAATTTCAGTCTTGGGCGAAAGAAGAAAAAGAAGAGGGAGGAGTTGTCCACAAAGGAGGCCGATTTCCAGATTAGAATCAAAATCTGGGAAGCCAGACAACTTGCCGGTGGTAATATCCACCCAGTTGCAAAAGCCACCGTCTGTCAACAGACAAAGATGACACGGGTGAAGAAATCAACCAACAGACCCTTCTGGAATGAGGTATGTTACGGGGAATACTGTCGACTTATATAGCGCATATTGTAGAGACCTCTATGCACTTAGCATTATTACCCCCAGTCATTGGATTAAGCACATATGGAACACATACTCAGGTCCCTTGGGAGAATTTCATAATGTTGCAGCTGTAATCAGCGCATGGTTGTGTTTGAACCTACCAGGTACCCACTTGTACTCTTGGGTGGAGAGAGAACCTTAGGTAAAGTACCTTGCCCAAGGACAACTTGTTGTTGTTTCGAACCCCTGACCTCAAGGTTTTGAGTGCAAGCCACAACCGATGCGCCAACCGCTTCTACAACAATTAAATAATTATAATTTTTTTGCCTTTTATTATTCTATGTCATGTCTGTTTATGTAAAGTAAAAAAGGATGATCGTAATAAAGAAATGATTCATGAATAGCCCATACAATGTGCAACCGCTGCCACTCCCTTGGGTGTAATTCTAGTCCTACAGCTAATTCAGCAGCGGACCGATTTAATTCCAAAATCCTTCACATCCTACCAGGTACTTCATACTGATGAGCAAAGAGAGACAATTGCAGATAATCTGCCAAAGGACACCATTAGGCATTATCCGGGACTCAAATCCCTGACCTTGATTTAACTCTGTTTATAAAAGTAATAAAACTTTATGGCTTAATATTAGCTGAGATGTCGTAAAATTAATTCATCTTTTTATGCCTGTTGAAAATAAACATTCAGGATACTCCACCTTTAGTTTAGGCCCACATTCATCCATCCATGTTTGTAGAAAATAAAACATCCAGAACCTCCATACTGTGATTAGCTGTGATGCTGTAAACCTAATCTACATCTATATATTCTCATTTGGTATATAGACAATACTAATGCATCAGGTTAATTGCTGCTAATATATAAAGACAGCCATGTATATGTGCAACCTCTGACACTCCCCTGGGGATGTACTACTAGTCCTACAGCACCGGACTGATTTAATTCCAAATCCTTCACATCCTACATGGTACCTCATGCTCATGACCGGTGAGAGACAGTCCTAGATAATCTGCCAAAGTACACATGGACATTATTGGATTCTAATACTCAAACTTGATTTAACTGTGTTTAAAAGTAATAAAACTTCATGGCTTCATAATTTTATCATAGGACTGACTGAGATGTCATATAAAAATGAATTCATCCTTCCATGTCTGTTGAATGTCGACCATCATATCTCGTTGTCCTTGTCCCTTGCCTCGCTTCTGCACGTAATCACTGCTTACCATCCCAAAATTCCGAACACAAGACTTTTTTTTCCCTTGTTGCGTACTTATTTTTTTTAAAGATCATCAAAGGAGGACAGAATAAGAATAAAAATAAAATTTTGTTTTCTTATTTAGCAAATAATTTTGTCAAAAATATTCAGACGGAGGAGAAAATAAAAATAAAATTTTATTGGTGAATGTAAAATAGGATGGTTAAATGCATAAAATTCATATGATTAGGAAGAAATATACATATCTTATCTTTGAAGATTTCAAGGCAGCGGAGGGCATAATAAAAATTTTAAAAAATCACCTTTCCCTTTTTGTTACGATTTGACTACTTTCATTTAAAGTTAATTCAAGAACATATTTATATGACAAATGCTGAGCATAAACTACGCTTTTGATCATTTTTGAAATTTGCACATTATAAATTTTTAATCCATCCATGTTTGTAGAATTTAAACATCCAGAACCTCCCATTCTGTGATTGGCTGTGATGCTGTAAACCTGATACATCTTTATGCTCTCATTGGTTATTATACTATAGAAGGACTAATGCACCAGATTAATTGCTATTAATAATATGAAGCTTACATAAGTTTAACTCACCCAAAAGTAGGGCAACTAAAATAAATTTGTTTAGGATTTACTAAACATCTGGCAAAAAAAAAACAAATTACCAAGTGTGCTCATTAATCTATGGTCAATTATATAATCACCTAGGGAGTACATAATATATATATACATATTATACAATATATGTACTCATGATATATAGTAGGTATATTCGGGTAAAAAACAGGTCGGTTTATTTAGGTTCACTATGACCAAGATTTAACCTCACAAGTAAACTTGTATTGTTTAATATTTATATCCTTAAAGTAACACTTAACTTTATTATGTCAACATTTAATGTTTTGGAAAAATATACACATCAGATAAATCCACATTGGAAATATATTATTAAATATTAATATGTCTGAAAACATTACTTTTAAATTTTTATTTCAATTTACTTAAACATTTTCAAGAAAAAGCATTTTTTTTCACTCTTTCGAAAAATAGATTAGAAACAGGACAATAAAAAAATGTTTGGGAAACTAAAATCCATTCCTTTCCTAATACCTTACAAATTTTTAGCTACAAAGTTAAATATTCCTCCTCAACTTTGACCTAGATGTCAAACTGTGACATACTGTAAAACCTTGGATAGAAGCCCTGGGCTTCTCTTTTTTGTTTTTGTTTTTTTTTGTTTTTGGCGAACTTCAGATGGGCTTCTTTTTTCGAGATGGGTTTCTTTTTGAGACTATTTTTGCAAAGTAAAGAGGGGGAGCTTCTTTTCAAAATGAATGC